GTACCGTTCGTCCGTGGTGGTTCCCTGCCGCGCCGAGGATAATCGCCTGGTCCTTGGGAACACCCTTTACCTTGTAAGCCCACTTTCGAGCGACCTTGATAGCAGTCTCGGCCGCCTCGGCGCCAGTGCTTGAGGGCAGGACGCGGTCATAGCCAAATGTCTTGGTTACCATCTCGGCAAACTGCGGGTATACGTCGTTGTGAAAGGCGCGCGAGGTGAGCGTCAGCCGCGAGGCCTGGTCGACAAGCGCAGCGACGAGCTTCGGGTGACAATGGCCATGGTTGAGGGCCGTAGAAGCCGAGTGGAAGTCGAGATAGTGACGGCCCTCGGGGTCCCAGACGGACGCGCCCTGAGCGCGGGAAAACACAATGGGTAGGGACTGGTAGTTTTGAGCCGAAAAGTCCTTTTCGGCCTGGAGGGCAATGTCGGTCGTGGCAGCGCGGTGCGCAATCGCGAGCTTGCCTGGGCCCTTGTCCTTGACACCGTTGGACACCATTATGTTGAAGGATGACTTAGTATAGAAAACACAAGGAAATTTTGCAAAAGGATGGATGGAAAGAAGAGGGCGGGGAACTTGGGAGACAGATACGGCCTTCAGGCAGGCTGAGGAAGCTGTATATCAGGAAGTGTTCAACCAGGGAGTATCCGGATCTCCAGACACATTGAGGGTAATTTAGCAGTTACCAGGAGAGCATGAAGAATGGCTACGAGTTTCATACCCTTTGTAGTCTCTACCCACAGTGATATCGACGCAGGGGCGACTTCACGGCTCAAGGAGGGACTGACTTATAAGAGGAGAAACGGGAGTGCGAGAAGCAAAGAGGGAAAATTGTCCACGGCACTCACGCAACGCTACTAATGGTGCAGTGGAACACGCCAACATGTCAAGTCGGTTCCAGGCCTCAGATAGTAATCCAAAGTCTCATCACATGCGCAACTCCAACACAGACCCTGTCCAGCCTACTGATATTCCACTTCTGTATGGCCACGCATCTCTCTTCCCTTACCCAACAGAATTTTGTACAATTATGGCAACGCCGGGCAGAAGCATCCACGGGCCCCCGGCAACGAGACACGGCACAATGGGTTCTGTAACAAAAGTAATATTGTGTTTCGCTGCATTGTGTAAAGCGCTCGGTCCCGGCTACCGCCGCATGGAGTATCAACCCGGGACTATTTGTTAGTGGTATCCAATCCCCTATGCTCCCTTGGATTCGCTCCAGGATCTCGAGGTAAATATTGGTTCTCCCCCTGTTATAGCAAATGACTACTATTGCAAGCCAAGGATTGAAAATTACCAGCCAAAAGTAGGATTGACAATGGATGCTCGACTTGGTAAAGTGAGGGCCAATACCACAGAAACATAAGAGTCAAGACGTGCTAAACACAGACTTGGTTCGGTTGTTTTCAACTCAAGACACGATGGGCTACAAAGACGAAAGCTGGTTAAACGAGCTAATATACCTCTATTAATTAATATTTAATTATTTTATTTTATAATTAATACTACGCTATAACTACTAGCCAAGGCCATCTCACAATAGCCTCTGCTACTATCATCATAAATGTAAATTAACTTTACGCCTATAACTTACGCCAAGTTACGCCAAAAACCTAAAATACCCACACACACAGTATATCTAAGCAGTCTACCCTCGCCCGTATTCCAAGTCAATCCTATTCCTCTCTACCCAAGTCATCTGCCTCTTCTGTTATTGAGACCCTGCCACAAACAACCAATCGTAAGTCCCTGCTCCTACACACACACATCTCCCACAATCACTACAACCGCTAATATACCTCTATAATCATTATCACTCATTCAAGAGAAAAAGAGGGGGAAGCTTGTATTTGAAAAACATCCACAAACAGCCGCTACACCGCTTGTTTCCGTGACAAACCCACGATAATCACAAGAATCGTAAAACAGGGAGACACAGAACCAGTACTGCCCCCACGTCTCGCCGGCATATTGAATCTATGGAAAATACCCTGAGGGATGAAATCTCTATTCATTCCTTGTAGCTTGCTGTACCGCTTGTTGTTTCCCAACAACGCAGACGGTAAGCCAATACTAGATTGTAAACGGCGAGAAAAAGACGACGGGAGGAGCGGCTAAATATAGCCACACACCTATCCTTGTTGCTTTTGCCCGTGTGCTCATAACGTAGCAGTCTCATTCGCCGGATGGCGTAGCACAAGCATGATTTGGGGCGTCTTCGTGCCAAACCGCCATCTTGTTCACTCGCCCCGTTGCCAATATTGTTTGCCTGCCTACCTAGCACTCTGATACTACACCACACTCGGCCACTCACCAAACATATACGCCCGCCATTTCGAAAAACAAACCCGCACTCGACCGCGCAAACATGAGCAACGGAAACCGCATCACCGGCGAGGTCCAGCAGCAAAAGCGCTTCCTCCCCTCCATAGCAACCATGTCGCTCGGGTCGTCCACCCTCCACCCCCTAGATGTGAAGCTCAAAGTCGCAGCGGCAAAGGGCTTCCTCGGCGTAGAGATGTACTGGGACGACCTGGTGCAGTACTCGGTCCAATTCCGCCCCAAGCCGCCCTCGCACGCCGCGCACGAGGCCGTCGCCGTCCTCGTGGCCGCCACCAACGTCGCCAACCTAGCAGCGAGGCTCGGCCTCAAGATCCTCTCGCTCCAGCCGTTCCGCAACTTCGACGGCCTGACCGACCCGGGCCTCCGGGAGAAGCGGCTCGACGAGTTCAGGCTCTGGCTAGCCACGGCGCGGCGACTGGGCGCCGACATCATCGGCGTGCCGAGCACCCTGCCCACGGTCAGCGCGGCCGACTACACCGACAACCGGCACGCCATCGCGGCCGACTTGGCGAAGCTGTCGCGGGCGGCAAAGGCGCAAGGCATACGTGTTGCCTATGAGAACCTGTGCTTCGCGGCGCACGTCAGGGACTGGCACCAGGCGTGGGACAGGATAGAGCTCGCGCGCGAGCCCGACGGCCTGCTCTTTCTCCCTGATACGTTCAACATTTGCGGCCGGACGTACATGGACCCCGAGGCGGCGGGGGGCAGGACGCCCAACGCAGAGGCGGACTTGAGGGCGTCCCTCGCGAGACTCGTCGACACGGTTCCCATGTGCAGGATGCCGCTGCTGCAAGTTGCCGATGCGGAATTGCCCGACGAGCCGCTGACGCAGGACCACCCTTGGCGCAAGGAGGCGGGACTGGTTCCCCTCATGGCTCTCAGTCGGAACGCCAGGCTGTTTCCCTTTGAGGAGAGAGGGTACTTGCCTGTTGTGAGCGTCATACAGGCCCTTGTCGGCGCCGGGTGGGAGGGATGGGTGAGCATGGAGGTGTTTTCGAGGACTACGGCAGTGCACGGGGAGGAGACCATCTGGGAGCACGCGGAGAGGGCTTGGGAGAGCTGGGAGAAGTTGGCTCGCGTCATGGGTTGGCCGGCTCGGCCGCGGATAGACGGCAGCAGGTAGTTTATTTCTAAACACGGGCGAAGAGGGCGCCACGTCTTGCTGTATTCAACGTACCCCCGATGCCAATATTCCATGAGCCCAGAGTGAGTGCCATCGGCCACCCTTTGACAACGAGAATGATGTGTCGTCGTCGTCAGGCGGGATCGTCGAGCACATGGTATTCGGCACTGCTTGGTTTGCCGCCGTTGCAATCGGTGATATCCATGGGACAAGCACTCATGAAAATCACACAGTCCTGTTCGGCCTGCAGCACAACGTAATCTCCGGCCTTGCTCTGCGGTCTCAAGTTGTGCAACTTGTTGCCTTTGACGACGACGTTCATGAACAGGTTCAGCGGGTCGGGCACCCATCCACATTCAAGAAACTCGACTACCTTGTCGAACGCTGCCTCGCCATATGCCTTGACTGCCGAGTAGAGATTATTCGCGCAGCTGTCATGCTCAGGAGCGCTACCGAGCTGGGCATAACGCTCCGGGGAGCAGGCGGCGAAGAAGACGTCGTGCACGCCGGGTGACGTATCGTGAAGCATTGTGAGCATCGGCCGTCGTCGATTATCGAGGAACGTCTCCCGATTTGAGGGCATCAACTCAGGCAGGGTCGAACGTGTATGGACCATGGACATGTAGGCGGGGAACATGCCCGGGGCTGGGATGCAAAAGGCCCATGTATCAATGACTTGACTGCCGTTTGTGTTGATGACTTTGATAGCCTGCCCGGTGTGCAATCGAGCAAAGGCAAAGGAACGGGCTGGAATGGTGAGCATGGCGTCTAGCCGTGCGTTTGAAATTCGTGTGGAAGAAGATGCTGATGAAAATAGCAAGTGAGGGTGATGACACAGATGAGGGGTTCCCGCATGATTTCCAAGGTGGCGAAACCGACGTGGCGACAAGATGCATTGTGCCGCTTTGTGCGACGTTGAGATATCAATGTCAGGATCAGGATCACTACCTGTACCATCGCGAGGCTGCCTCTCCGTTTTATACGCGGAGAAATGCCGGTAGCATTTTCGACATCTGCCCAAGGTTACTCTTGAACCCAGTGGCAGAGCCATGCCACAAGCGGGATTGGAGCAGGTCCGATTGGAATACGTCCAGTCCGGTCTCTCTGTCAGATGGTCCAAAAAGTACCGGTGGCATTTTCGACATCGGCCCCCATATGCCCCCGTTCCAGGTGGTAGGGCCACACCGCAAGCGAGGTTTGAGCAGGTGCGATCCGCGAAGGATTCGCGATGCCGGAGCTTCCATTTCTCGCAGATTTCTCGTGTTCTGTCCGCGCCCAGGTGACTAGGATGGCGGGCATATGCATAGCAAGCACTGCATCTCTGATTTACCAACCTGCCTTCAGGTGGCAAAACAATGCCACAGTTCGGATTGCCACATCGGTTCCCTTCGCCATTGTCCCGAGCATTCTCCTGAGCATTCTCCTGAGCAGGCACAGGATACCCAGGCTCCCTCTCCCGCTTTTCGCCTCCCATGCCACTCTGTCTTATGTTTGGGTTGACTTCCTGTCGCATGTCCTGTGGCGAAACCTGCTTCAGGATTGCTTCAGAACAGTCTTCGCATCTTTGTCGGTATTTCGCTCTTGGACCGCCACAGTCCTGACAGATCCCATCTTCTCTGCGTTCGCGTTGCCAGACCCGGTTGTCAGCAAGGAAGCACTGTTCGCACAATCGTTTTCCAACCGCTCTCGGTCCATCACACGCAAAACACCTGAAGCAACTTCGCACTTGTTGCACATGTTTCTCCCTTTCGAGCGTTGCTCCCCGCACTGGCAGAGACTCGGGTGAGCGTTGGGCTTCATCTTATAGCAGCGCAGGCATATGTGATTGCCATCTGCCTCGCCCCCGCAAAGGGTACAGAAGGATTTGCCGCGACTGTTGATCAGGATCAGCAACGCGAGATCGATTTCTTCTTCGGGGACGTCTCCAGCGCCAGCGAGTGCTCGCCGGCGGCATTGAGCCCACCATGCGGATCCAAGAGGTAGTGCTTGGATCGCTTTTGTTTCATCGACGGCGGCTTTGACAATCTCTTGTGCCGGAGTTCCAACCGTGGGCGGGGGTATGACTTCAAGCGTACTTTTCAACCTTGGGGCCCAAAGTTCGTTGTAAATGCGGACTGGGGTATTCATATCTTCCTTCGCAGTGAATGTGAATCTTGACTCCCCATGGTGCCTTGATACCGTGTCGACCAAGTGGGCAGAAATGGCTTTTCTTGTCCGGAAATATCCCTCGCTGAGAAGCCAAAAGCTTACAGCGTCGAGAATACTTCGTTTTTTGGCGTAGGGGTTCTGCTGCATAATTTCTTCGATGCGGGCATAGCATTTTCGTTCTTCATCACGCCGTTGCCCCACCTCGTCGATCTGGATTATTTCCTTCCCCACATGAGTCATAACCCAAACCTCATCCCCAACAACATCCGACTCACCAGCAATTGACCTTTCAGCAAACCGCTCAATTGCTGCCCAAGATGCTGCCAGGTGTCGTCAGGGTCGGCGAGGCCGGTCAGACCGCTGCCCGAACCTTCTCGCGCGCAGCCCTGAACTCGAGCCGATACCGCAGTCTCTCGACCGCTCGTCAGAATGCTGCCTCTCGACCGACTGCCCGTGCAGCGACACCCTCTTTGACCTCGACCCGATCCCTCAACAGCGCCGTCCCAACGACATCCGCCCTCTCTGCCGCCTCCTCACCCACCAGCAACAGGATCCGCGAGATCGTCGCCCAGACCATCAGTAACATTGGCAGCAAGCGCGAGACAGCAGCCTACCTCCGCGTCTTCACCGTCACCGACCAGCAATTCGCCGTCATCAAGGTCGGTGGTGCGATTCTCCGAGACTACCTCGATGAGCTATGCGGTAGCATCCTCCTGCTCTACGAGCTCGGTCTATACCCGATTGTCGTCCACGGCGGCGGTCCGCAGCTGAACTCTCTCCTAGAGGCTGCTGGCGTGGAGCCGCAGTTCGAGGGAGGCATCCGAGTGACGGATGCAAAGACTCTGGGTATCGCGAGAAAGCTCTTCCTGGAGGAGAATACGAGGTTCATTGAGCGTTTAGACTCTCTTGGCGTTGCGACTCGTGCTATTCAGGGTGCTTTCAGAGCTACTTACCTTGATAAGGAGAAGTGGCAGTATGTCGGTAAGATCACTGAGGTTAGGACACAGGCTATCGAGAGTAGCATTAGGGCCGGCTATGTGCCGATTCTTACTTCAATGGCTGAGAGCGATGACGGTCACCTCCTGAATGTCAACGCAGACGTTGCGGCTGCTGAGCTTGCTCGTGCTCTCAAGCCTCTCAAGGTCGTCTACCTCTCAGAAAAGGGCGGTCTCTTCAACGGCGAGGACAAGAAGATCTCTCAGATCAACCTCGATGAGGAGCTTGAAACCATCAGTCGTCAGCCATTCTTCAAGTTCGGAACACGTCTGAAGATCCTGGAGATCCATGATCTGCTTAAGGATCTGCCTCGCAGCTCCAGTGTCGCTATCATTCACCCCAGTGATCTTGAGAAGGAGCTGTTCACCGACTCTGGTGCTGGCACGCTCATCCGTCTTGGCGACCGCATCCAGAGGGCCACTTCCATTTCCGAGTTCAAGGACATCGAGAAGCTCAAGGCCGCCCTTGTCGGCAGCTCTCAGGGTCTCGACACTGAAGCTTCAGTTGACACATTCATCAACTCACTAGAGGAGAAGAAATTCTCCGCATACTACGACGACGCCATGCAATGCATTGCCATCGTCAAGCCCGGTGGCGCGAAGCAGACAATGGCTGTCCTCACAAGCCTTTCCACCACCAAATCTGGCTGGCTCAGTGGCATGATGGACAACATCTTCACTGCCATCAAGCAGGATTACCCGACTTTGGCCTGGACGGTCGATGAGAGGGATGAGAACCTGGCGTGGTTCTTTGAGAGGTCTGATGGCAGCTTCCATAATGATGGCAGGGTGCTGTTCTACTATGGAACTTCGATGCGCTCGGATGCTCTGGTTCCTGTTTATGAGGATTTCTTAAAGAGTGGACAGGCTACGCCTAGCGAGTAGCGCCTTCACTGGGGGAGGCTTTTCTATAGACATGCTTTGATATCAATACCAGTCCTTTCGCAGACACCAAATGACCAGTTCAAGAATCGAGTTCGGTAACGTGCAAGCTCGAGCTATCCATGGAGTCAGTGCCCATGACAACTTACTCTAGCAGACATGGCAATGGAATCGGATCATCATGGGACAATCAACATGGGAGTATGTGAGATGAGTATTCCTATGATACGATCCATGACATCATCCAATCAATAAATTACAAAAGCTATCAACGCTAAAAGCAAGAAGCCGCCCAGAGGTATATATCCCTGAGTATCCCGTATCAGCGCCTAAAAGAATCTCTGGTATCAAAAGAGTAGTCCTGATTTGCTCTCGCAGAACTCTCATATACAAAACGCCTTTCGCTTGGCGTTTCAATCGTAAAGTAGGTAAGTGCTGTAATCCTCTCCTATCTCTTCCTTCGTGAATCGCGAAGCGCATCGCGGTCCGTATGCCGCAGAGAATCATTGCGATAAAATGATGTACAATAATTGGACGCTTCGCTGTCCGTGTCCGTACGCTGTGGAGGACGAAAAGAGGCATGCAACGGCTTGCGTTGTTAATATGTAGGATGTCTTCGCACTGCGAACGAGCATGTTTTTCGATGATGAGTTGGTACCTCTCAGCCATCGAGACAGGTGCTGGCGTCAAGCTCTTCTGCTACAGCCCTTCCCTTTGTACCATCCTTTGGTAATGCCGTAATCTTCGACGTGCTCCTGTATCTTTTACGCATCCGAGCCGACTTGTGCACGACACGAGGGCAGAGCGAAGCAGCTTGTGCGGACGTCCTGTAGTACAGAGGATCGCCAGCGCGTCTTGGTGCTGCGGACAATAGTTCTTTGCGTCGGGCAGATACGGCGATGGTGCATGTTAGTGGCTCTTCGTGGCCTTCATTGGTGGCTGTGGTGTCGACGAAGAGCTCAACGTCTGGCACGAAAGCTTCTGGCGAGGATGTGTGATGCTGAGAGGTAGTCTGGTTTGACTGAGAGTCCTCCATGTCGACCGTATGTGCTGTTGAAGACTTAACGTACGGCGGCTCTGCGGTGGTGATGGGAACCGTATATTGATGATGCTCAAGGTTGTGAGAGTGATCATCCTCAAGTGTGTTGGCTTCCAGATCTCCATTAACATGATCGACTTCTATCGGCTGAGAGAAGCCGTTCGGCGAGAAGATGTACGATGATTTCCAGTACCGATCTTGCAGAGCGAGCGTCTGTAGGCTTATCGCGTCGGTGAGCTGCTCGAACACCTGGGGTTGTGGTTGTGCATCGGGTTGGAGTGTTGCGTTCTGAGTCCGGCTTGGACTTGATATGTCATTTTTTGCGAAAGACGAGTCTTGTATCAAGTAAATGGCTGTACTTGTTGCGCATGGTACGCAAGGTTGTGTTTCGTTTGAGTTCGTGTGTTGTGAGTGAGTCGGTATGGGCGAGGCATGTCGCGAAGCCTCGCCCGGCGCAGCGCCCGGCTCGCTCATAACGCTGGATAGGACATGAGTGGCAGCCGATGCGTGTAAAGCGGCTGTCCTGAATGAAGTGATCTCATCGATCGCGTGGTCGTCGTTGTTCAGTCGCTCTGCCGGCATGCAAAGACCAGAGGTGCTAGACAAGGCGTTTACATAGTTGCAAGAGCATACGGTGACGATCCCACCGAATAGATGGGGACAACTACGAGTATTAAATAGGTTAACATGGCTAAGTCTTTTGCTATTCTTAGAGTTCTTAATCTG